GATATATAACCCTCCACCAAATGACAAAAGATCCAGGCAAGAGTATGACAGAAACAACATGGCAGTTAACACTATAATTGAGAGGGCAGCCTCTGCTGCCTGTAGAAATAGATTCCATCTGCTGATCATGGGGGATTTCAATTACGGAAATATAGACTGGGAGAACAAGGAACCACATGGTGGAAAGGAAACATGGAGAGGTAAACTATTGGAGGTGACAACAAAAACTTTTTGAGCCAGCATGTCAAGGAATCCTCAGGAATGAGGGAAAGCGATGAACCAGCCAGACTCGACCTAGTCTTCACTCTGAATGATTATCTGTTCGAAGAAGAGTTAAAGTACTCAAGGAAGGATTCTGAAAACTAAAGGCTGCCTTTCCGTAAGGGAAACGATGGGGAGATAAGAAAATTTCTAACAGATTTAACATGGAAAACAGAGCTCAGGGGAAAGACGGCCCAAGACATGATAGAATACATCACACAGAAGTGTAAGGATGCAGCAGACAAGTTTATCCCGGTCCGAAATGAAAAAAACAAAATGCAGATGAGAAACCCATGGTTTAATCCGAGATGTAAGCTAGCAAAACAACTAAGTAAAAGAGCGTGAAGAAACTATAGAAATAACAGGACACTTGAAAGCAGGGAATGATACCAGAACGCCAGGAAGGAATACGTCAGGGTGAGAAGAGACCAGAAGGGCAATATAAAAACGACATAGCAAGCAAGGCAAAGACTTAACCTAAATTGCTACACAACCACATCAGGAGAAAAACAACAGTTAAGGAACAGGAAATGAAACTGAGGATAGGCTCAGAAAGATTCACGACAAATGACAAGGAAACGTGTGAGGAACTCAATTCAAATTTCCAGGAGGTCCTCACATTAGAACAAGACGTTCCAGAGATAAGAGGAGGAATAGTTAACCAGGCACCACTAAAGGAGTTTGGGATTGCCAGTGGGGATGTAAGGAAACTTTTGCTAGAGTTGGATGTGACACAGGCTATAGGCCTTGTTGGAATATCACCACGGATTCTAAAGAAAGGAGCAGAAGTAATGTGCCTACCACTCTCCATTATGTATAACAAATCACTGGTAACGGGTGAACTGCCAAAAATTTGGAAGACGGCAAATGTAGTTTCGATATACAAGACGGGGAATAGACAGGAGGCACTGAACTACAGGCCAATGTTTCTAACTTACATACCATGCATGCTGATGGAAAAAATTGTGCGAAAAAAGCTAGTGGAACGTCTAGAGCGAAGGAACTTTGTGTCACAACACCAACATGGTTTCAGGGATGGCAAGTCATGCCTCACGGGATTAATTGAATTCTACGATCAGGTAACAAGAATCAGGAAAGAAAGAGAGGGGTGGGCAGACTGCATATTTTTGGATTGCAAGAAAGCCTTTGACACAGTAGTACACCAGAGACTAGTGCAAAAGCTGTTGATGCAGGCAGAAGTGAAAGGGAAGGTACTCCATTGAATAAAAGAGTACCTAAGTAACAGAAGATAGCGAGTCAATGTGACGGGTGAGGTCTCAGATTGGTGAAGCGTTACCAGTGGAGTCCCGCTGGGTTCAGTCATTGGACCTATACTGTTTATGATATATGTAAATGATCTCCCAGAAAGTATTGAATCGTTCCTCTCATAGTTTGCTGATGATGCAAAAATTATGAGAAGGATTAAGACGGAGGAAGATAGTATGAAGCTTCAAGATGACCTAGACAAACTTAATTAATGGTCTAACAAATGGCTACTAAAGTTCAACCCGAGTAAATGTAAGGTAATGAATTTAGGCAGTGGAAACAGGTGGCCCGATAAAGGATACAGTATGGGATATGAATTCTTTCACGAAACGGACAGAGAGAAATATCTAGGAGTGGATATCACACCAAATCTGTCTCCTGAAGCCCACATAAAGAGAATAACAGCTGCGGCATATGCAAGGCTGGCTAACATCAGAACTGCCTTCAAGAACCTGTACAAGGAATCATTCAGAACCTTGTATACCACATATGTAAGACCAATTCTGGAGTATGCGGCCCCAGCATGGAGCCCGTACCTTGTCAATCACAAGACGAAACTGTAAAAAGTTCAGAGGTATGCCACTAGACTAGTCCCAGAACTAAGAGGCATGAGTTACGAGGAAAGGCTGCGTGAAATACACCTCACGACACTGCAAGACAGAAGAGTTAGAGTAGACATGATCACTACCTACAAAATTCTCAAAAGAATTGACAGGGTAGATAAAGATAAACTGGTTAACACGGGTGGTACGCGAACAAGAGAAGACAGATGGAAACTGTGTACCCAAATGAGACAGAGGGACGTTAGAAAGAAATTTTTCAGTGTCAGAGTATTTAATGGGTGGAATGCATTTGGCAGTGATGTGGTGGAGGCTGACTCCATACACAGTTTAAAATGTAGATATGATAGAGCCCAGTAGGCTCAGGAATCTGTACACCAGTTGATTGATAGTTGAGAGGCGGGACCAAAGTGCCAGAGCTCAACCCCCCGCAAGCACAACTAGGTGAGTACAACTAGGTGAGTTAACCGACGGAGCTCACAGTGCCGATACCACAAAACCACGCCACTTTATCAGTAGTGAACAACACTACAGTGCTCTGCCCCACCAAGTGGGCTAAGTCTTAACAAATACAAGACTGAGCATCGGGAGTGTGAATTACAACAAAATAATAGGAAGTAGAGTTTGGTGAGGTTGTCTTGGGGAAAAAATATCCACTTTTCTTGCAAAAAGTCCTTGCCATAACTCTTCTATTCATACAGTATCGTTATACCATTTGCTTAAAAGCTGAAGCAGTAAGTAAATTATTTACCAACCTATTAAATGTAACTAGCTAGGTTAGTTAATATTTAAAAAGAGATATATTGCAAGTGTTCAAACATAAAGTATATATTTACAATAATTATATTCACATCAATATGAAATTTAAGTAACCACTCTTACCGTTATTTATATATATATTAATATGTGACTAGATACCAGATATAAAAGGTTAGGCTAAAATAGAAATACATAACTAATACCAGTGCATGCTGCATTATAATTAAGGTATAACATGCAGGTATATTGTAACAACCAGAGAACATACACCCATGACTCATCCATTGGAAGATGACTCATCCATGGGTAGCCTCTTTGGAAGGTCAGCCCAAGTGACCTCAGATCATCATGCAGTCCTTCAAGTGCTGACTATTAGATTAGGTGTTCAAACCACTTTTAATTAAAAATTCCTGGTTTTGCTGAATCAGTTGGGAACAAGACCACATGAAACGTTCCCCACAAGATTTGCAAACGCTCCCCTCTGATTCGGGGCGTGGCAAAAGCGGGTATATAATTGCCTGTAAGGCATTTAAGAGATAGAGAGTGAGGGGAGATAACAGATACCCAGAGTCGAGGGCTGGTTTGCCAGAACATCACGCAGCCAGGGAGAGACAGAATGATCCACCGGATCGAGAGGTAGTGGTCTTGAGGTAATGTGTGATCTCTGATGGTATTTTTCCATTACTAAATTATGTAACAATTGCCAGTGTAATGACTTAGAAATTGCCAGTATATAGGGACTTAGTATTTGTAGTGAAAATCATAAATTGGGATTTAATAAACTTGTTAACTTTCCATCTGTATGTGTCACTTGGTTTTCCCCTTTGTCATCTCCGGTGTTTGTTATCAAGGACATTGAACCCCCCAGTCCTCTGTATTCAGTTTATTAACAACCGATCAGTAAATAATGACATCTAGAAGAGACCTCTCAAAGCCAATCAATGCTTCTTGACTTATTACATGATATAACTTACTGCCCAGGCAGGATGGTGGAAGCGCATTTAATCAGTGTCTCTGTGTAGCATTTCCTTGGAAAGGTACCATGGGTCTGGGTGCAAAACATCAGTGGTATATCATATTTCAGTCCTAGATTTCATTAAATAAATTACCCAGGTTATAATAACTAGTATTCTCAAGAGGTTAATTCAAGTAAGTGTTACAAGGGTTCAGTAGCTAATTGTATAGGTTCCAATACTTAAGTGTTACAAACAACAAGTGTTTACAATACCCAGTGTTAAAGTATGTCTGACCCATACACATAGATGACTGACCCATACACATAGATGACTGACCCATACACATATATGACTGACTCATGCCCGCATATGACTGAGACTTACACGTATAAGACTGACCAATTTTCGTCAGGGACAATAGCACCACCTCTGAAAAGTCATCAGTTGAACTAGCTCCTTAATGAACACACGAACCTGTAATTTTACATATAACAAAATAATGTTCTTCTACACATAATCAGATATATAAACTAAACAGAACTATTGAACAAGAAACTCCTCACACACCACTGCTGGCGGTCTGTGGCACTTCTCTCTCTTGGCGGACTTCCCCCGCCCTGGGCGGCACCACAGTCAGTCATTTGCTCACCAACTGTTGGCGAGTGTATATTTGTCGCTCTCTCCTTTATCTCACCTCGCAATTCCCAATATTAATGGATATAGGCCATGAGGCTATCGCGGTTCACAACACTCATCAGTACAGAAAACAATAAAACAATGACTTTGCAATACTAGACATAATAAATCATTGGCTCTGCAATAAACTAAACAATAAAGCAATGACTTGGCAATAGATGTTACAATAAAACAATGACTTAGCAATAAATAAAACAATAAAGGTTGTCTCCACAATACAACATACAATAAAGGTTGCCTCCACAACCCACAATGCAACGTGCAAGAAAGGTTGCCTTCACAATACAACATACAATAAAGCAATGACTCACCAATAAAGAAATTAATAAAGTAATGACTCGACAATAAAGTTGTAGCGTAGACCTTGGCAAGTTTACAAACATCAAATATTCATCAAGTGTTCCTCCTAGTTCATTAGTTTAGCATTTATGTAATGCCGGCCGACCTATAGTGTGTTCAGCATAACCTGAGTGGTAGTTACAGGAAATAATGTTTGACCTACCAGCTTGTGGTGTCTGGACGGAGCAGCACCCAGTGTCTGTCACGTGACCATCCACACCCACACACAGACTGTAATTGGTGTAGGGCACAGAGGTCACAGCTGTGTAGCACAGCTCTGACTCTTCACTCCATGGCAAGGAACCGCTGCCTTCATCTGAAACACGACACACTATATTTATTGTGTACTACCTGTACCCGGCGAGGTGTTGCTGAGCCACAGCAACCCTTCCTCAGTCCGCCCATCCTCCCCACGATTCCCCCTTCGCCCATCCCCTTGTCCTCCCCACTCCCCTGTCCCCTTGTCTTTCCCACCATTCTCCACCCCCACCCCCTCGTCCTCCCCATCATTACCCCGTCCCCCGTCCCCTAGTCCTCCCCACCGTCCCCCACTCCTGCCCCCTCGTCCCCCACTCCTGTCCCCTCGTCCCCACTTCTGTCCCCTCGTCCTCCCCACCGTCCCCCACTCCTGTCCCCTCGTCCTCCCCACCGTCTTCCACTACTGTCCCTTTGTCCTCCCCACCATCCCCTACTCCTGTCCCCTCGTCCTCCCCAACTCCTGTCCCCTCGTCCTCCCCAACTCCTGTCCCCTCGTCCTCCCCAACTCCTGTCCCCTCGTCCTCCCCAACTCCTGTCCCCTCATCCTCCCCAACTCCTGTCCCCTCGTCCTCCCCACCGTCCCAACCCCTGTCCCCTCGTCCTCCCCACCGTCCCAACCCCTGTCCCTTTGTCCTCCCCACCGTCCCCAACTCCTATCCCCTCGTCCTCCCCCACTCCTGTCCCCTCGTCCTCCCGACTGTCCCCCACTCCTGTCCCCTTGTCCTCCCCACCGTCCCCAACTCCTGTCCCCTCGTCCTCCCCACCGTCCCAACCCCTGTCCCCTCGTCCTCCCCACCGTCCCCAACTCCTGTCCCCTCGTCCTCCACACCGTCCCAACCCCTGTCCCCTCGTCCTCCCCACCGTCTTCCACTCCTGTCCCTTTGTCCTCCCCACCGTCCCCAACTCCTATCCCCTCGTCCTCCCCCACTCCTGTCCCCTCGTCCTCCCCACCGTCCCCCACTTTTGTCCCCTCGTCCTCCCCACCGTCCCCAACTCCTGTCCCCTCGTCCTCCCCACCGTCGCCCACTCCTGTCCCCTCGTCCTCCTTCACTCCTGTCCCCTCGTCCTCCCCACCATCCCCCACTCCTGTCCCCTCGTCCTCCCCATCGTCCCCAATTCCTGTCTTCTCGTCCTCCCCACCGGCGCCCACTCCTGTCCCCTCGTGCTGCCCCACTCCTGTCCCCTTGTCCTCCCCACCATCCCCAACTTCTGTCCCCTCGTGCTCCCCCACTCCTGTCCCCTTGTCCTCCCCACCATCCCCAACTTCTGTCCCTTCGTCCTCCCCACCGTCCCCCACTCCTGTCCCCTCGTCCTCCCCCATTCCTGTCCCCTCGTCCTCCCCACCGTCCCCCACTCCTGTCCCCTCGTCCTCCCCCATTCCTGTCCCCTCGTCCTCCCCACCGTCCCCCACTGCGGTCCCCTCGTCCTCCCCCATTCCTGTCCCCTCGTCCTCCCCACCGTCCCCCACTGCGGTCCCCTCGTCCTCCCCCACCATTCCCCACTCCTTTCTCTGATGCATTCCCAAATGATCTGATGTTCCTGTCAGAAAAAAATAAGAACAGTTAAAAAAAACAAATGAAAAACAATGACAAAGTAAAATAATAAACTATACTCACGAACTGAATGGCATGGTAAATAACACAGCTCAATTCCAATGCAATGTCACACATAAAGTAATTAAATCAAAATGAAAATAAATCGAAATTTACGAAAATTAATTTTATCAATGCAATTGGTAACATCGAACTGGAATCGAAACATATTTAATATAGCGTGTGTTGCTCTCCAGACACAAAGCAGAACGCCTTAAAGGAGACCAACGTCGTCTATGCCTTCAAATGCCAACTTGGGAACTGTAAGTCTCAAAGAACTCAGTATATAGACAAGACAACCATGTCTCTTTCCTGGCGATTAACAATGCAAACGGAACAGGGTTCCATCAAGGAACATATAATCTCTTCCCACGACCAGACCATCACCAGAGAAGTATTAATAACAAACAACACAGAAATCATCGATTGATACAGCGATAGCAGGCAACTCAACATCTGTGAGGCACTAAACATCACAACGTCAACACCAGCAATCAACAGCCAATTAATGCACAACTATATTCTACCCACTTTAAGACTCCGTACCAATATAGAAGCATCAGGAGGAGGAATGGGCCAATAGGCCCTTTGCAGTTACTTCCATTTTTATGCTCTCTTTTTTATCTTTATGTTTTGCTCATTTTTATGCTATGTTGATACATCAGAGGATACAACTGACGATTTACTATAAAACCAGAAAAACGGCCAGCCTACTCATGAGAAACTCTCCAGACACAAAGCAGAACGCTTTAAAAGAGACCAACGTCGTCTATGCCTTCAAATGCCCACTTGGGGACTGTAAGCTCCAAAAAACCCAGAATATAGGCAAGACAACATCTCTTTCTAGGCGTTTAACGATGCATAAACAATAGGGCTCCATTAAGGAACATATAATCTCTTCCCACAACCAAACCATCGCCAGAGAAATCCTAGTAAACAACACAGAAATCATCGATAGATACAGCGATAGCAGGCGGCTTGACGTTTGCGAGGCACTACACATTAAGAAGTCAACACCAGCAATCAACAGCCAATTAATGCACAATTATATTCTACCCACCTCAAGACTCCGCTCCAATATAGAAGCATCAAGAAATATGGATCAATAGGCTTTCTACAATCACTTCCATTTCAATACCCATTGTTTCGTGTTCTGTCTTGTGTTGATGAAATTAATACCCTATTAATGCCACCTCTTGTTCTGTCTTGTGTTGATGAAATTAATACCCTATTAATGCCACCTCACCCCATCCACCTCATTCAAATGTAGATATAAACAAAATCGGAAGATGTGTAAGTTCTATTCAGTTGTGTATTTGTAAACTAAAGTCTTTGAAAATGTAATAAGTTTTACGAAACGCGCTCGTGTCGCGTCAGACTAGAAATAAAAATGAATTTTGGAAAATTGATTTTTTAATTACCTCCAACAGTGAAAAGAAATGTACGAAAGATTGAGAAAATTCGTGTTAGAATTATTAATCTTACTTTTTCGGTCATATATAATATATATATATATATATATATATATATATATATATATATATATATATATATATATATATATATGTCGTACCTAGTAGCCAGAACGCACTTCTCAGCCTACTATGCATGGCCCGATTTGCCTAATAAGCCAAGTTTTCATGAATTAATTGTTTTTCGACTACCTAACCTACCTAACCTAACCTAACCTAACTTTTTCTACTACCTAACCTAACCTAACCTATAAAGATAGGTTAGGTTAGGTTAGGTAGGGATGGTTAGGTTCGGTCATATATCTACGTTAATTTTAACTCCAATAAAAAAAAATTGACTTCATACATAATGAAATGGGTAGCTTTATCATTTCATAAGAAAAAAATTAGAGAAAATATATTAATTCAGGAAAACTTGGCTTATTAGGCATATCGGGCCTTGCATAGTAGGCCAAAAAGTGCGTTCTGGCTACTAAGTACGACATATATATATATATATATATATATATATATATATATATATATATATATATATATATATATATATATATATATATATGTCGTACCTAGTAGCCAGAACTCACTTCTCAGCCTACTATGCGAGGCCCGATTTGCCTAATAAGCCAACTTTTACTGAATTAATATATTTTCTCTAATTTTTTTCTTATGAAATGACAAAGCTACCCATTTCATTATGTATGAGGTCAATTTTTTTTATTGGAGTTAAAATTAACGTAGATATATGACCGAACCTAACCAACCCTACCTAACCTAACCTAACCTATCTTTATAGGTTAGGTTAGGTTAGGTAGCCGAAAACGTTAGGTTAGGTTAGGTTAGGTAGGTTAGGTTGTCGAAAAAACAATAATTCATGAAAACTAGGCTTATTAGGCAAATCAGGCCTTGCATATTAGGCTCAGAAGTGAGTTCTGGCTACTAGGTACGACATATATATATATATATATATATATATATATTGGTAGCAGTCTTTCCTGTAGACATATATTATTAAATATGACCAAAAAAGTAAGATTAATAATTCCAACACGAATTTTCTCAATGTTTCTTATATTTTTTTTTCACTGTTGATGGTAACTGAAAAATCAATTCTCCAAAATTAATTTTTATTTCTAGTCTGACGCGACACTTGAGCGCATCTCTTAAAACTTATTACATTTTCAAAGACTTTAGTTTACACACACACAACTATAACTGAACAGAGCTTAAACATCTTCGATTTTATACCTGCATTTGGGTGAGGTGATATGTTACAACAGTTTTGGATGAGGTGTAAACAAACTTTCAACACAAGACAGAACACGATACAATGGTTATAATATTTTGTAAGTTGAAGGAAGAATGGAAGTAACTGCAAAGGGCCTATTGGCCCATATTTCTTGATGCTTCTATATTGGTGTGGAGTCTTGAAGTGGGTAGAATATAGTTGTGCATTAATTGGCTGTTGATTGCTGGTGTCGACTTCTTCATGTGTATTGCCTCGCAGATATCTAGCCGCCTGCTATCGTTGTATCTATCGATGATTTCCGTGTTTTTTGTTAAGACTTTTCTGGTGATGGTCTGGTTGTGGGAAGAGATTATATGTTCCTTAATGGAGCCCTGTTGCTTATGCATCGTTAATCGCCTGGAAAGAGATGTTGTTGTCTTGCCTATATACTGAATTCTTTGAGGCTTACAATCCCCAAGTGGGCATTTGAAGGCATAGACGACATTGGTCTCTTTTAAAGCGTTCTGCTTTGTGTCTGGAGAGTTTCTCATGTGTAGGTTGGCCGTTTTCTTGGTTTTATAGTAGATCGTCAATTGTATCTTCTGATTTTTGTCTGTAGGGATAACGTTTCTATTAACAATATCTTTTAGGACCCTTTCCTCCGTTTTATGAGCTGTGGAAAAGAAGTTCCTGTAAAATAGTCTAATAGGGAGTACAGATTTTATGTTAGTTGTCTCTTCAGAGGTTGCATGGCGTTTCACCTTCCTTC